GTTTACTGTTGCAAATCATTATTATGAGTTTGTCATGAAGTAAAAAAAAAAATCGGGAAAAATCAACAACCATCAGACGACAGTTCCAACTAATGACTCTTTCTAAAGCAGGTTTTACCTGCTCGACACAACAACACTGACACGGTCACACTATTTACAGTGTGGAGAATACACACTAAATCATGCAACTGCAAACAGAATCAACAGAGAACTGGTTTGTGACCCCGTCTGTGTTGAGCCCTCCTCCCTGCTCCATTGTGTCCACCATATACAGCTGGGTATGAGCCAAACAGGAACTAAACACGCAGCAGCATTTTTCCAAATGGGGCCTCTGTGCTCCCATAAAAGCACTAAATTCCTTTTCTGCCAATAGTTTGGCTTTGGCTGGTTGAGTGTTTCTGGTCGAAGGGAACGAGTGAGAGGCTCCTTGTTGCAGAGAAACAGGAAAACAGGACCAGATAACACAGTAATGGCGTCACATCATTTGTGAAATATCAAGGAACAGGTTGTTTTTCTCACTTCCTCTTGTACAAGCCCTCGACCGCTGTGAGGTGCAGCGTTGCACCCTCACAGAGGAGGAAGCTGCAGGGTCAAAGAAGACTGATGTGTTTCTCTGCTGTGGCTTAGGCAGAAAAACACACCGTCTTCAACTGCACTCAAAGTATAAGAAGGACCTGAGAGCGTCTACGTATCTCACGTCAATGCCAGAGTATGAAAAATGTGAATTTTTGTTTACTTTTATCAGATTTAGCAGATCGACACAGTATTAATTGCCGGCTGTTCAGGTAATCAGTTAATCGTTTTGGGTCTGATGCCCTGAAACACTGAATGACACAGTCTTGGGCTCCGGGAAGTTGAATCTTGAACCTTGAATCTACCACTGTGTTTGAAAGTTAATATTAAATCAAATATTCAAAGTCACCTGATCGAGTCCCGGTGCCACAGTGTTTAAACAGCATTAAATATATGAGTACTTCCTGCAACTGACAGAGTTACACAGACTATATTCTATCATGTTGTATTATGGTACTTTTTAACAGTATAATATATATTCACAGTCTTTTACTGTCAACAAACGTTTCATTTCCCCACATAAGCACCAAATTAAGAGGAAACTGTTCAGAAACATGTTTTGCAACATCTGCAGCTCTCCACATCATTCAGAGAAAGTATGAAAGAGTTAATCCAGCAAATTAAAGAAGGAACATTCCAAATTTAAATGGATTCGTTTTAACAATACTGACATTACGGCACTAATGATGATAGACATTCTTTCTAGATAACTCTGCTCAAACAACGTGGGCTGTGGACAACTGGCTGCACACTGAGCTGGAAGGAAAAAGCCCCCCATCATTGGTCAGCTCCGGCGTCTGCTAGGAGACAACACACAGGTCATGAGATCACGCTAACGGTCACCGGATGCGCTGCTGAGTCTCACCACCTGCACCGTCCTGCGTGCAGCACTCACAATCTGCTCGCTTAACAGGACAGAACAGCAAAGTTTTACAAACACCAGGTGTGCCATCAACTGAGGATTCAGATTAGACCTCGTTTCTTAGCAACACCACTGAGCGGTGAGATTATCGAAGGTGGGATTACAGCTAATGAGGCATTCAGGGACATGAGAGGAGAGTGTTTGGAGGTGCCACCAGTGACATATTAAGAGGATTCTCTTGACAGGAGTCATTAGTGTCACTGAGATGGTACCGAAGATAATTGGTCAGCGAGCTCAGAGAGGACGGAGGGATTCCTGTGGGATGATACAGGCTTTATGAAGTGGAGTGTGGGGGTGAGAGTGTGTTTTTTAAAAATCTGCATCAGTGTACATCGCTGACACTGTGACAGGATGTTAGATACTGATTTAATGATAATGTATTTTCCTCTTCTCCTGGGCTGCATTTCTCACAAATTTAACAGATGCAACACTTTGACTTTGATAGACTTTTGAAGCTAAGTGAAATAAAATACTAAAGAGAAGACAAAGACAGATATGGCTGTGCACCTCTCAGCTGATTCACATGGTCTTAAGGGATAGTGTTTGATAAGAAACCCTGACATCACATGTAGTCTTTACCAAGCACAAGATAAAGACAATACTTTTACATGCTGCATTATGCTCAATGGAATCCTAGGAGTTATAGTCAGGTCATTTCTATTGTTTGTTTTCTTCCAATTTAACTTAAGACCTTCAGATCTTCCTATGTGACTAGAATGTGATGTCATCTAATGGGCTGTGTCTGGTGCCATTGATCAAAACAGTAGATGCTACAGGTCAACATTTGTATATGGAGCAACACGAGGAACACTAACGCACAACAGCGCGATGAAGAGTAACGCAAGAGCAACAACTAGCTTCTTCTACGAGAATTGTATTATTACACACAAACTGTCAAAGAAACACAGTCAAAATGTTTTTCTGCAGAAGACAGAAAAACATTGACTCTAACAGCTGCTGCCACATTTCACAGTAGTCACTGTTTAGTTTAGTAGGAACAAAGCATACATGCATCTCAAAGACAACAGCAGGACATACAGTAAATGCTGCTTCACCACAAGTGAGGTGACATTCAGCTCTTTGCTTCACATCTCTATTGAACCTCACAGATCTCTGGCTACTTTGATTGCTGGTCTCACTCGTCTCTATCGTTCTCATTATTCTTTCATAAAAGCTCATCCAATGTAGGTGCAACACTTGTCTTTTCTCCGCAAAGAATCGTTTCAGTTCAGCCACAGATCTTATACCGCTGGTCCTGGTGAAGTCCCATCAGCACTGTGTCAGAGCAGATAAAGCTTTCGACTCACTACTATGTTTGAACCCCATTGTGATATATGTCTGACCTTTAGTTCAACATTTCTCATCTGGTCATTTGAAAAGTATGGGATGCGTATTAGCTGCTGGTGTCAAACCCTGATGAGCATTAGCGGCCACTTAATAGACTTTTTCACTTTAATGTTAGTGTTGATTTAGGTTTTACTGACTTCTCTTAGATGATAACAGCAGATATTGGAGCTGCGACACCAACACATACAGAATAATCACACCTGTATATTGTGTTCCTGGATACAGCTCAGCCTTGAGATCTGATTCAGTGACAAACCACATGGTTTTACCTCAAGCAAGACAGCATAGCATGTTAGGCTGCTACCAGGTTTCTTTTGTCTGTGAAGACATTACTGCAAACTTCCTCTCTCAGGCATGAGCTTCATGATTCACATCCTGTAGAGGACTAAATCAAATGCTGTGGAGCTGAGGTACTTCATCTCATTTTCTTAACACGCTGCCCGTGAGGGTAACGCAAGCTAATTGTTTTTGTAAAGACGTAAACGGACTCTGGCCCCGATAAATGCTGGTTTCTACCAAGTTGAGGATATGGTGCAACACACACAAAGTTTTGAGGAAGTGTTGCACCAAGAGTCGATGGGCAGAGCTGATGCAATACAGAGGAACCCAACTTCAACAGACAGAGAAGAGGATGAGCGACCACTAAATTGAGATTAAAATTAGAGAAAGAAAATGCAAGCAAACTTCTTACGAGCTTGTGATAACTGATAGAGCCAAAAGAGGTTTTAAACGCCAAGTAAAGATTAAGAAAATAATTCATCAGTGCAGAAGACTACGCTGATCACAAAGAAAATGAGAGAGAAAAAGAAACAAAGCATGCCTGTATCCCAGGAAGAACCAGAACAAATAGGAAGTTTTAAAAATAGCTGGTGAGAAATCCTTGCGTACGGCAGCAGGAAGCCATGAGTGAATGGACGGCCAAGGTGGCAGCTGAAAGGTCAGAGCTTATTCCCCGGCACTATGGGGGTTTCAGAGACGTGCCCAGATCCCTTCTGCATCCCTGGGCAACAGCCTTGTTGTAGGTGGCAGACGCTACACAACGCAGGATTACAGCTGTATAATGGTTTTCCTCAAGAATAGCAACAGCCGGCTATGATGTTACAAGAGTGTTTGACTAAAGTACAGTTTAAAAAGCTAAATTCAGGGGTAAGAACACTATATTCAGATATTTTCAAGCACCGAAGGTCAATACTCTGAAAAGGCTGCAGTTGAGGTGGAGGACAGCGATGTTCTGGCTGTGGCGGACCACACAATGTGACATTTAAGAAAGACTAATCGTTACTAGTTCCCGCTGGTCTGTGTGTGGAAGTGCTGGCTCGCATCCCAATCCCTGCACCTACTCCCCTGTGAGCTGCGAGTTAAAACAGAAGAGGCCACTGTCATAACTCGCCGTGCTCGACTTAAAAAACGCAACTCAAAATCCCTCTGCATCTACACAATTTCATTTTCATCCAAATGTTTAAGTACAAGCTAACTTGTGCAGCATCGGCTGGTTCAGGTATGTGGCTCTGAAACGCGAACACTTTTCACAGTGAGCTGCTGGAACATGTGTGACGCCCTGAGCCATGAATTTGACCTGCTTAAAGGGACAGTTCACCAAAAAATGAAAATGGAGGCGTAATCCAAGTGTTCACAAGCCCCGACATTCATATTTGATTAGAAACGGGGTCATTTACACCATGTTTTTAGACTAAATGTTCTGTGATCCACGCGCAAACACACTTCCAGACAACATCAGACGACATTCAGGCTAAAAACACGATGTAAATTATGGGCTTCCGGACATTTGCATGACAACACAGGAGCAGTATGGAGGCATTTTTTTTTTCTGTTGGTTTTTTTTGTGTTTGAAGGAGTGCTCACCATTTACTTACACTGCAGCACTTTACCCCTGAAACTAGACTCAAACACTTCACCCACCCCTCCATCCGCATGGTGGTGAGGAGATAATGGGTGAATTTTATTTTTTGGTGAACTGTCCCATTAACATATATGAAACTGTAATTGGGATTACACTTTTATGATTCCTGTTGGTTTTATCATGTAAAGTAATTTGTAAACGTTTTTTTGGAAAGGTGCTATATAAATAAAGATGATTATTATTCAAAACCAAACCAGGGAAACATTGCACTGCAAAACGAGACATCCGGCCCCTGCTGCAGGGCTGCCACCTCAGGTTGAGATAAAGAAAACTCCATTAAGATTCCTTCAGACCAGTTATCGGTCGCACAGGAAGAAAAAGGGAGTCACAGTTTGATGCCTTGCAGCCATTGAGCCATGCACACAGCTGAGGTGACTCACTAGTGATCTCTGAATCCTAAAGAGAATAAGCCAACATGGGGGCTTTTTTTTTTTTTTTGGTGAGAGGCATCAGTGCCAATTCAAATGAATCGACATGAGATCCAGGAAGTGGCAGAAAATGTTCCTCTTGCACCTCAAGTCAGTCGAGTCTCTCACACACAGATAAAAGTGAATAAAGCTCCTGTGTGATTAAACTTTTGATTTTAAAAGTCAGTGCATTAACTCATCGTTTCTGTTCATTTAAACAAAGTGGATGCATCGGCAGACATGACTGTTACCTAACGAGCAGCAATGTCAGACTCGACACCCGGAAATGAACAACTAGTGATTGCTCCTACACTTCTCACTGCCGCGGGGCAACTTTAAAAATAACTCGGCAAAAAAAAAAGTAGTTTGAGATCATAAACAAGAAGAAGAAGACGATGATCAAATGTAAGAACAGCCACAAACTACAGAGAAGATGAACTCTGATCAACAGAACAGGGGTTTCCTAAAGTCACGTTCATGGCTGTGAGTTTTAGCCAACAAGTGCTAAAAAGCGAGCTAACTTTGGCACAGAAGCTCGGGGGTGTGAGATAGCTGGTTAAGATGAGTTATGAGAGAGTTTAACGCGTGTTTCGAGGACTTACCGTTTCACTGCGGCTGGGATGAGACTCTCCTGCTAACGGTGGCGGGAGGAAATGAAGCCGCGCAGGAAAATCTGAGACTTCTGCCGCGAACTGAGCGCCGCATCCGCTCCACCGCCTTCAAAATAAAAGCTGATGTTTACGTGGCTCCTCTCGAATGTGCCGATGTTTACATTTTTATTCAGAAAACATTTTTGAATGCTTGAATTTAAGAGTATTTCTATCGCTGTTATTACTTCAATTAGAACAGTTAAATCAATGTCCAAACATAACCCAGTTTAAAATAAAGTACAAAATGTTCGAAATAAATAAAGAATGAATGATGAATAGAATATGTTAGTACTGTTTCCACCACCTTTCACATTTCATTCAGGATATGTTTTTATACTTGATACTGGGGGTCACTGTGGTGTATCTAGTGCACACGTAACATTGTGTGATTCTTTTCTTTCAAATATTTCCATTTCAATGTTACTTTATACCTTTACTCCACTGCCTCTATGAAGGACATTTTTCTATTTTTACTTCATATATCATCCATCCATTAATGGTCGTTTGTAACTTAATTGCTTGAATAGTGTTCCTTCAATATTCAGTTTTAAGTTTTAACACACATTGTAACTTTTTCAAAAGGTGCAGCATAAAAGTGTATTGCTATTATCATTATGGATCATCCAATACGATTTATTCATTGTATTTACGTACTTTTTCTATTTATTTATTTACCAATTATATTTTGCATGGAGAAGTTTCACCTTCACATTGTTTGCATAGTATTGTATATTTTAATACTTTTATATCAACAAGTAAACTGATTATTTTTCCTGCATTAAGAATAATTTCTCACAGGGCTTCACTGGCTGATGTTATATTGTCAGTTGGTCCAGTCATGTTTTACAATGTGAACTGAATTCATCTTAATGTTGAAGTCCTCACCGGAAACTGGCTGTTAACAATTGCAGCCTTATTGTCTGTGAGCACACTTCCGGGAGAATGCGCCTGAGACACGCATGGACATGTAGATCAGCTCAGACACCAACATACCAACAAAAAGCTGCCCCCAGAGGTTTCACACACTTTAAACTCTTTCAACTCCCACTCAGTTTGATTCATTCACTGACATAGTGATTTGTGACAAGTCCGGGTGCAGGACTGGATTCTATAGGCGTGGCAGGCAGGTACAGAGGTTTGTTCTCTACAAAAACCTCCATCAGACTTCATTATAGACCATATATGGTTAACAGACTGCAGGAAATGGCTTCTGCAGCGCAGGACGACATCTGGAGGTGTCACGGTGCATTAAAGCAGAGAAGATCTCGGCATGTGACACGAATCAAGTTGCAGTGGGCTTTCTGATTTTTGTGTCATGGCTCACTGCAGCTGGTAAAAACACAAGTTGTTAAATAGAATGACCTGATTTGGACCATATGAATCCCATTAGTAGCTTAAAATGTAAGTGATTAGATAGTTTTAAAAATGCTACATGACTAAATTGTTTTAGTTCCATGAGCACAACTTTCTAACCAGAAGCTAATTAAAGGCCCCTTTTTACCAACGTGTATAACCTTATTGCAATACATATACACATGAGCGTGCTGGCTCACTGTTTCAAGATGTATGAGACAGTATGTAGAAAAATCCCCTCATCCAAGTTCTCCTAGTCATTTAAGTAAAGTTGAGGTTTTCTTTGGTGACATTTGGACTCATTGATATAAAAACAGAAACAGCATTTGGTCAATAAGCACTGCAGGTTTTATTACAAGTCTCAGTAACTACAGAGAAGAGGAAAGAACTGGGAACCCCAATTCACATTAGCCTACAACCAAAACCATGTTCATGGAGAAGAAAAAAAAAACAACTGGTAAAAAACACAGAGCATTTAAAAGGAGGAGTTGCAACAACAATTTCAATCACACCAGAAGACAAGTGTAAAATATTCTGCACATTTTTGACAAGCACCCTTCTGTGCAGACAGGAAGGGAAACAGGGTAACTTCTTTTTAGCTGGTGTCCATCTGCAAAAAACAACAAACAAAAGTGCAATTAGAGAAATGCCAGAGCAGGATCAATCAACTGGGAAAGGCACGGTATCGACAACTGAACATACCCTGGCATTGTAGGCGTCTAATTGGGCATCGAGTTCCTCTGCTGACAGCTGCTGCTTAGTGTTGCCACCACGTCCTCCTCGGCCCCTTCCTCTGGCACCACCTGCACCACGTCCTCCCCGACCTCTCTGCATGCCCCCGAAGCTGCCCCCTCGATTTCTGTTCATGCCACCGCCGCCTCCTCTGCTCAGACTGAACACAGGAACACCCATCAACATGCAGCATTCACAATAATTTCCAATTAAATATCTTTAAAAAAACAAATGCACTCACCCCTGGACAGGTCGTCTCTGTGTGTCGATCTGTGATGTGACGAGTTGGATGTTCATAGGCCGTCCTAAGATGACAAAGGGTGTTATTTGTTTACAATCTGGGCAGGACAGCAGTGCAATCAGTCAGGAAAACATAACCTAAATCAGCTATCAAAAATAATAAGTATGTCTAAGAAATTTACAGCAGATGCATTCAATTTGAGTTTCATGCATACCATCGAGCGGGATGCCATTGTACTGTTTCATGGCCTTGAGTGCGTCCGCCCTCCTTTCAAAATGGACATCTGCCGTTCCCAGACTTCTCCCCGATCGATCATAATGAACCGCAGCCTTTTTCAGAGTTCCAAATTCAGCAAAGAGTTCCTGAAAAAAGTTAAGAGACATGAGCATAAAAAAAACAAACATTCTTCATCTCCCACTAAAAGCAAAGGTAAATAGGAAAAGTCTTGTACCTGGATGTCTGCATCTGAGACGCCAAAGTCGAGATTGGAGACGAGGAGCTTCCCTCCAGTTTCCACTCCAGCTCCGCCGCCACCTCCAGCAGCACCATTGAAGCCGCTGAAGCCATTGTCGAACATGTCGTGCTGCCACTTATCTGGAAGCTGTTTAGGCTGCAACAGATGAAAGAGAACGCACCTGCTGACTTCAGGATCCCCCTTGCCTCTGTCAATCACAGAGTCCACACGGCTGGGTGTTGGGGCAAGCAGGGCCTCCGCTTCCAACAGGGCCAGGGTGCTCCACTCCCCCAAGAGGGTCCCCAAAGTCCCCTGCCCACCCCATCACTACAGGCAAGTGAATCAGTACATACAGGAGGACATGCACAGGACAAAAAGCCAGTAAGGCAAGGGGGTGTGCTGCTAATCACCTCTGCATACAGACATACTGTGAATGATTTCTAAAGCATCTGCTGAAATGTTTACATCAATGACTATTGATCCAAAACACACCAGTTTCCCCAGACCCACCCACCATTCTCTTCATAAAACCCCTGAACAGCTTGTACCAACATTGCCCACAGTACTCTTGCCATGTGTGCCTCCACCAAAGGCTCTCCAGATACGATCCTCGGGTACACAGGGGGTCGCCATCAGAAGCAGCGTGGCCTCCAGCGTTGCACCATGTTTCCCGGTTCGCCCAAAAGAGTTCTTTAGCAGGCCACGAAAATGGCTTTCACGGAGGGGGAATTGTCCACAAGGAAATGGGGGGAGTGATCGTGAAAACAATTAGAAAATGGCCGGCTATCCCCTCTACTCGAGAGTGAATTATCTAAGCGTCCATTTTGAGACCACGCCATTTTGATTGGGGCTTTGTTGGACTCGTCTAGACACTGATACACTAAAGGGAGTGAAGATTCGCCATATATGAACACTATCAGGGGGGTGAAGTCCACCGATCCATCCATAACAGCCACACTGGTCGATAAGCCACCAAACGGGCCTCGGTGAGAAACCCGCCAGCCACTCCCGAACAAAAGGCCGTCTGCACCGGGGCATGGACAAAAACTATAGCTCCCAAAAGTGGTGATAAAAATCATGAGGGCGAATTTTCTCGATGGAGTGGATTCCTCTCAACATCATCAATCTGACCATTGGGGTGGAAAGGACTCTGACTGCTCGTGGAGGACTATCTTTAAATTAAGGTGCTGGATTCAAAATGGCGCCGCCGAGGCCTTCACGATCCAACTTAGCCAACCCGGCTAACACCTCCTCCAAAAAGGCCTCTTCTTGTGAAAAAAGATGCAACATACACGGGTTGTGGGAGACGGAATAAGCTATGAATACAACTTCCATTAACGCTAAACCGCAGACTAAACTCGGCGGTCAGCGATCACTTTATTAGCTTGACTAGCTAGAGGGTTAGCTGGCAAGCTTATTGGAGAATAGAAGGATGTGACCCAGGCATTTCTCAGGTTAGCCGAAGGGTCTTTATCCTTTTTCTGCCCACTCCTCTTAACTTTCTCATACCCTGTTGTAAGGCGTTGGTCTGCCTCTAGCGCGGCTCAGGTTCTGTCGGCTCCTCATGGGGCCGGATCCACCGCCTCGGCCTCCAAATCCTCCTCCGCCGCCGCTCATTCCAACGCGTCCAGCGCCTCCTCGGCCGCCGCCGGAGCCTCCGCGGCCTCGGCCTCTTCCGCCGCCGCGGCCTCCTCCTCCTCCTCTTTGCTGCCTGTTCTGCTTGATAATGTCGTCTAGAGACATATCCATCTTATCGGCCATTATGCTAACTCCGGTAACTCTAAACTGGAAACGATAGAATTTAAAAATACACCCTGGGTTGGTCCCTCTCTCTCTGCCCTGTACAGCTGCACGTTCTCTGCCCCGACGAGAAAAACACAATGACCTAGCGTCGCCTGTATTTATACGCACTGGCTCTTCACGTACCATACGTAGACATGACGTCAGGACGCCCAACGAGGAACCAAAACAGTTGTGTGTTATTGTCTCTCTCACTAATAACAATGGTGATGATAATAATAATAGTGATGTCAATTTATCAACAGTGACTCTTGAACCTTAGTGAATTTTTGATTCACAGATTCAAGCTGAGACACTAACTCAATTAATCAAGATAATTAATCAGCAGCTTCTACGATAATCAATTGATCATACAAGTCATTTATTTTACTGCCTCCAGCTGCTGTGACAACAGACTAATTATCTATGATCAGACACAACAGCCATTTTTCTACATGTCGGCTGACACGCAAAATGATTAATCAATTAATTGGGACAAAAGAAACAATGATGAGTTATGAATATTCATCATCATCATCACCCATAGGGAAATTCACTCAATATTTATGCAGGATCAATACAAGCAGGAGTATTGTAAAAGTCTTTTATTCAACATTTTTGTTTCGTTTAGGGTATGGGGG